CCGCCCCCCACCCGGCCCCCTGGCGTCTCGGCACCCACCAGTGGGCACCAGGTCCGGCATGGCTCTTGCCCCATCCCTTGGGGCCACCGGCTCCACACTCGGTGACCCCCCCTGCCCCAGTACATGCCACATGTAGGGAGGGCAGGGGCTCACCTGGGCGAAGGCGATGAAGAAGAGCTGGTCGTGGGTGTATTTCAGGTGGTGCAGGGGATGCTCGGGTCCGTGCTCCCGCACCCACTTCTGGTAGGCCTGGAGAATAAGGGGTGCCCTCAGCACAGCCTGGGTGCTCCCGAAACCTGCCCCAAGCCTCCCCCTAAAGCCCCCCAGCAAGCTGGATCAGGCCTGCTCCCTGCTGCAAGGAGGAAGGTGGGGCTAGGGGGTCTCCTGCCCCCCACCTCCCAGTGGGGATGGCATCAGCAGCGGCCCCATGGCCCTGCCAGGGGCATGACACCCCAGGGTGGGGGGACACTCACGTAGTAGGCGAGTTTGAGCCCCCCCATGTCAGCGATGTTCTCCCCCAGCGTGTGTTTGCCATTCACCTGCCGAGAGAGACATGGAGTGAGCGGAGATGCCCTCCCCCCAGCCAGGCATCCCCTCATCCCCACCCTGGCACCGAGGCTTTGCCTCAGTTTCCCCCACCCAGTGCCCTGAGGAATTTCCCAGCTGAGGTGTGATGACTTGTCGGGTCTCAGGGCTGGGCAGGGCAGAGCCACGCTCTCTTGTGGGCACGAAGCAGCGGGGACACACACACACACACACACTCAGGGCAGTGTGTGCCCAGGCATTGCCCGGTGGGTGAGGGGGGTCTCACCCGCTGATTGTAGACGGTGAAGTTGTCGTAGAGGTTGACGATACACTGCGCCTTCTTCAGGAACTTGCTGTACGACCTCTCCGTCCACCAATGCACCAGGTTCCCGTGTCGGTCGTACTGTCCCCCTGCCAAGGCAACCGCTGCCACCAGTAGTCCCGAGGGACCCGGGCATCCTGCCCCCCACCCTGCCTGGCTGCACCCTGTCCACCCACCTCCCGCCCCGGCACGGGGTGTGGGGTCACTCACCCCAGTCATCGTAGCCGTGGGTCAGCTCATGCCCGAGGAGGGTGCCGATCCCGCCATAGTTCAGAGACCTGTTGCGGGGGGAGCAGAGGTGAGAGAGTGGAGGGCATGGTGCTGGCAGGGGTGGCGGGGGCCCCCGGGCCCGGCACCCCCACACCCCGCCCCTG